CCCATCCTAACCTTGTCCCACTGTTCTCTCCCACTTTAAAAGGATGTGTTTCCTTTTCTTTTTAAAAGGGGTCTATTGGGAAAAACATTCTTCATTCCATTCCACTCTTTTGCTGGCCCCAAAGGCAGTTTGGCATCCTCCCTCCAGCCTCTAAATTAAGCGTTCATTTTAAAGTTCACTGCTGTTTCCCCTCCTGCCTGGTAAGTGGAGGCTGTGATGCTTCCCAGGCCCTGGCTCCTGTCTCTCTGCCTAGCTCCCACAAAACAGCTTCTCACCAGAGCCCGTCCTCAGATTTCTCTTTGTAATAAAGTGTGTGGTGGGTTTATGCCTCTTACCCATCAGAGCCATTTACCTTCCCTCTGTAACAACCAATACATGCCCCCCACCCATCTCCTGGGACTGAGCTGTGCCCCAGTAACTCCTCTCAGTAGGACAAGATGTGTTGTTTCTGGCTGGAGATAACATGCCCCCTTGTCACCCTCACAAACCACAGAGTGCAAGGCAGCCTTTTTGTCCTTCCACTTCCACTCACTGCAAACAAAGCAGTTTATGTACATAAATGAAACAAACGAGAACCACAGATTAATGAAATCTTTAACACTAAAAAGGGGGGTGCTTCTTTCCATGACTTTTGGCACATGTCTAGAGGGCATTCAGCAATGGTTCCCAAAGGCTGACCCTGGGATTGCTGCAAAAGAATCCTCTGGGAGGCTGTTAAACATAAATATTGGTAGGCTCCACCCCTGGACTTTCTGATTCATCAGGGCCGGAGTTTAGGAGCCACTAACAGAGAGTATAAATCAATCTCAACAACTTGAGTAAAAGCCCCAGAAGCACACGGATAACAACACATGGCTGCCAAATTTTCAACCCCTGTGAGCTTAGAATTCGCAGGGTGATTAGTATGCTTTGAGAGAAGTATGGGAGGGGGAAGGATGACAGCCAAGGTAGGCACTGGCCGTGCACTGACCAAGAGGCTGTGAGTGTGAAAACTACCCTGCCCTTCTCCTCCTCCCCAGAAAACGGGCCCCACAGGTCTTTGAAAGGAAGAGTTTTTTAAATGAACATCAGTCCTTTTTTTTTGCAGTTTTTGGCTGGGGCTGGCTTTGAACCCACCACCTCGGCTGGGGCCGACGCCCTATTCCTTTGAGCCACAGGTGCTGCCCTGATCAAACTTTTTTAGATCCTTCCAGGATCAATAGTTTAGTTGGGAAACAGATTTAAACCCCATTGGAAAGTGAAACTCAACAAAAATAGTAAAAAGCAGAGCCAACACCTCAGTAATTCTCTCCTTCCAAACACAATGAGCCATTTCCCTCCTGGGGATTAAAGACTTGACAGGGAGCAAAACCACAAACCTCTTAGAATACCCTCCCTTAGACCTGGAGCTTTTGAAAGCTACTTTCTCCACACAGGTACAAACTTTGAAATGCACATGTGGTAACGCTCCCCCCAGCTAGGCCCCTGCTTATTTGCAACTGGCAACCCATTCCCAGCAAGAGAAATCTCATTAGATGGAACCACTGGACCACTCGAGGCCTATGCTGTCTAATGCAGGAGCCACTAGCCCCAGATGGCTATTGAGTATTTGAAATGTGACTGACTGACTAGTCCATATGGAGATGTGTCTAAGTGTAAAACAGGCACCAGAATTCAAAGACTTAGCATGAAAAAAAGGGAAAATAGCTAATTAAAAAATTTTATATTAACATGCTATTACGACCATGTATTGGATATATGAAGTTTAAATAAAGGACTGTATATTAAAATTAATTTTACCTTTCTTTTTCACCTCTTTAAATGTGACTCTAAGAAAGTGTAAAAGTGCATATGTATGCATCTTATTCCCATCAGCCAGCGCTGTTCTAGATGAAGCCCAGCATTTTGCTCCAAGCTGGTTTCTCGGCTCCCTCACATTCTCCATCCCTCTCTCTGCCTAGTCCATTCACCTCCTGTCCACACACACCAAACAGAAACCCTGTCACCTCACTCCTCCCCACCCAGTATCTGCAACTCCACATAGGCCTGAAATGGTTTTGCCCACCATTCTGTCAAGTGAGATGTCCCGTTTTATTTCAATAGATTCCTAATTCCCACTTTTTTCATGAAATCTTCCACTTTTCAATGAAGACAACAGAGTTGCTTATTGTTCCTTTCAAGATCTTCCAGTTTGGCCACAGAACCAATAGGGTGATTATTTTGATCCTGACCAAGTACTCACTTGTTCAACCACACTCACTGGGTACCACCTGCGGTCCGGGCCCGGGCTAGCTACGGTGGTTACTCAATAACATCAGCACACAGCCCTAAAATGATGTGTGGGGTGATGTCAACAGGAACATAGACATTAAACCAGTGGTCCCCTGCCCTGGGTCCCAGAAGGATGCTCTTCTCACTAATGCCTTTCTGAGAAAGGATTTAAATGTAGTAACACAAGTCTCCCAGCTTTGAAACATGAAACTGCTTGGCCTCATATTAAACGTTTCCCCCTTTCACACTTTGTATACACCCTCAGGTCTCCCTGACTACCCTGTAAACTCCATTTGTCTTTGTAGCCCCTGTTGTTTTGCTGGCCCAGTACTAAACGCCATGCTTTCACATGTGCACACGCTCACTTATTTCTCACAATCCTGTAGCTACCATTATTTTTCCCTATTCAAAGGTGAAGAAACTGAGGCATGGGAAGTTAGGTAACTTCATGAAGCCACACAGATACTGAAGGAAGGATTCAGGATTTGAACCCAGGCAGCCTAACCCTAGAGTCAAGCTAGTCACCACCACCCAAACACACACCATGGACTGTGTAAGCTTGAAGCTGCCCTCAAATGGTGCCTATAAAGGAAAAGTGAAGACTGAAAAAAAAAAGAGGGAGCAAAGGAGAGAGAGAAGATATGAGAGAAATAAACTGATGATTTTATTTGAACCCCTAGAGACTATGAAGCCAAAAATTACCCTTTGGTCTTCCTAGTTATACAAACAGTCTTTCCTCACTCGTAGTCATGGGTTCTTAATGAAAAGTGCTCTCACAATAGTATGTACACACAGAACTGTAAACAGTGTATACACATTCTCTGGGGAGAATCTCAAAGGAGATTGTGATTTTACAAAGCTGCCAGATGTACAGCTTCTTAGCCAAATATCCTTTCCTAAAATTAGGTGGGGACACCTAGACTGTGTTGGTGGTCGTGTGGCTAGCCTCTGTTCATATGAGGTCTATTTCTGGAGCTACATTTGTGTGGAACAGAATAATCTGTTTTCTATGTTAAATCAACTGCCACAACTTCTAATCATCTTTTAAAGGCAAGTTTCTGGTCAGCATGCTAAATTGCAAAACTCGCAGCTCTTTCTCCAAACTCCACTAAAATGCCAACATGTCAGCTCCGGTTCTGTGAGTCTTTCTCTCTCACTGTTCTGCTCTGCTCTGTAATGCTAAGGGACTGACCTCTGCAAGGCTGGGCTTCCCAGGGGTTCAGCAAATAGGAGCACTTGGGGTAGGAGTCTAAAGATGGGGGGAAGGGAGAAACTAGGGATTTCTCCCCATCCCTCTCTGCCTCTACCAGGATCTGGCAGGAGCTGGGTCTCCTCTGAGACTCCAGAGGTGGGTTCTAGCTGCCATCAGGGTTACTAATTATCATGTCTTCATTAAATCATTCTTTTATCTCCTTTATGCTCATTTGAATGGTTCACTAATCTAGGAAATTGCCCTTTAGTGGAAGGACAATTTATCCCTCAATGAGCCTACCAACAATATACTGCCATTTCAAATAAGGTAAACACAGAACCTAAGGACCAAACGCCAGTGAGTTCTGCTTTCTGTTTTGAACCTTATACGAAAGATGGCCCCAGGGTGCACACATCCTATATTTGAATATGGTTTGTAGTTTTTTTCTTTCCCTATTTGAGCTCAGTGACTTCAGGCAGTTACAGACCGAATGTTGGTGTCTCTCCTATATTCCTATGTTGATGCCCTAGCCCCAAATTTGGTGGTATCTGTAGGTAGGGCCTTGGGAGGTAATTAGGCTGAGATGAGGTCATGAGTGTGCAGCCTCCATGACCGGACTAGTGGCTTTTTAATAAGAGGAAGAGGCAGTAGAGCTTCCTCTCTCTGCCATGTGAGCAAGCAGCAAGAAAGAGGCTGTCTGCACTCCAGAAGGAGAGGCCTTCACCAAGAAGTGAAATGGTGGCCGGGCACGGTGGCTCACGTCCATAATCCTAGCACTATGGGAGGCCAAGGAAGGTGAATTGCTTGAGCTCATGAGTTCAAGACCAGCCTGAGCATCAGTGAGACCCCTTCTTTACTAAAAACAGAAAAATTAGCCAAGCGCAATAGTATATACCTGAAGTCCCAGCTACTTGGGAGGCTGAGGCAAGTGGATCACTTGAGCCTAGCAGCTTGTGGATGTTATAAGCTATATAAGCTATGACACCACAGCCTGGATGATAGAGTGAGACTCCATCTCAAAAAAAAAGAAAGAAAGAAATAAAAAAGACAGAGAGAGAAAGATAGAAAAGAATTGAAATGGCTAGGACCTTGGACTTCCCAGCCCCCAAAATTGTAAAAAATAAATGTCAGTTGTTTAAGCCACGCAGTTTGTGGAATTTTGTTACAGCAGTTCAAGCTAACACAGAGGCCAAATTCCCATCTCTCCACCTCTATTATGCCAAACGAAAATGTGCTGTCATAATTCATCAGATAACATTTAGTTTTTACCTCATTTTGAAAAATTTACCTCATTTACCAGGACAGCCAGAAATCATAACTTATGGCTGTCATGTGAAAGCAGTAAAATATTACATACCTGCAGATGACCTCTATCCAGACATGCTTTTCACTGTTCACACTTTATCTGTCAAATAGTACTTTTTTAAAAGAAACAAATATAAATGCCATTATAGAGAGAAGCTACCAGCCTAGGACAAGTTCTAGCATTTTGTGTCCTGACAGATCTTAAATTGGACATCAGCCAAAGTCAATAAAACTTGTTCATGCAGAACCTTACCTGGTTTTCACCACATCGAGGGGATGCATCAGGCAAATTTCTACAAGACCTGAAAGATGATTAAAAAAAAAAATCCAGTAAACACTTATGTAAACACCATTTCTTAGTTCCGTGACCCTATTGATTTCTCAAGGGTGATGATTCACATAAGGAACTTGGGACTTTAGACATGACACCTAATAGAAGTAGGCTAGTGGTAAAAAACAAACACATATTATTATTTCAGTGGGCATAAGATAGGTGAGTGAGTAACTTTCTTACAAGGGATACAGGGGAATGAAAATAAAAAAGGAATTATATGTCTTAATCCCAATCAACTAGGCAGAAATTATTGTATCCCAGTTCAGCCCAGTAGACAGTGTATGTGGAAGGAAGGGAGGAAAGCAGAGAGGAAAGGACAGAAGGGAGGGAGAATCTCTGAGTCCTTCTCACCCCCTAGTACCTAACACAGAAAATCATAAGCCTCAGTTTCAGCAGCCATGAAATAAAGATAATGCTGCCTTTTAGCCTCACAAGGTAGCTAGATGATCCAACACATATCAACACATCAATTGCTTCATAGAGAATAGTTGTTTTTCTAAGCAGCGCTTAGATTATCTCATTTAATCCTCACAAGAATGCTGTGTGATGGGATGTATTATCCCCATTTTGTGGATGAGATAACTGAAGCCCAGAGGTTTAATAACTTAGTGTCACCTTGGGAGTAGTCTTAATTCCCACAAAGCCCATGATATTAACTATTGCACAGTGTGAAAGAACTTCCACAGCTTCTTGCAAATCAATTGTAAAGCCCTACCTCCTGCCGTTTAATTGAGCAGAGAAGACTACTCAATTACAAATTACTGGCACATAACAATAGTAGTCGTATAAGTAGTTGCATGTACTAGTAATTGTAAAAATAATTATAGTGGTAGTTGTTATAGTATTACAATAGTAATAATCACAACAGGTACCTTACCTAGAGCTGCTACGTATTTGTGATCATTTAACATACATTGCATCTAATACATACAACCACTGAACCAGGTAAATATCATTATCATCTTTACTTTATAACAGAAATCTATAAACTACAGCCCATGGGCTTCATGCTGGTTTTGTGAGGACTTTTTTGTTTATCTGTAGTATTGGATATCACAAAAAGTATGCACAGACTTTTTTGGTTATTCAACTTTTGTTAATGTTTGCACATTTTTTTATTTTTCTTTTGAGACAGAGTCTCACTCATTGCACGGGCTAGCATGTTATGCCCTCAGCTTAGCTCTCAGCAACATCAAACTCCTGGGTTTAGGTGATCCTTCTGTCTCAGCCTTTTGAGTAGCAGGGACTATAGGTACCCACACTGATGCTTAGCTAAGTTTTTCTATTTTTAGTAGAGATGGGGTCTCACTCTTGCTGAGGCTGGTCTCAAACTCTTGAGCTCAAACAATCCACTCCAAGTGTGCTAGGATTCAGGTGCAAGTCACTAGGCCTGGCCTAGTATTTGTGTATTTGATGTGTGGCCCAAGACAACTCTTCTTCCAATGTGTAGCAGAGAAAAACAAAGTTTGGACACCCATGCAAGACAAGCAAACTGGGGTTGATAACCTTCAGCAAATTTGTCCAAAGGCCACACAACTGTATCTGTGGGCAGTTTTTATAGGTAGAGCATATATCTTCATTTGTAAACTAATTCTATTTGTAAGTAGCTGGGACTTAGCTCATCTTTTCTATCCCATATTTATACACACAAATATCTTTTCCTTCCCACACTGGCCAGGTTCCGAAAGCTCAAAGGGCCTGCCCTGTCCTTCCTGAAGGCCTACTTTGTTTCTGCAGAAGCTTTAAACCCGTTCTATGTTGCAAAGTCAAATGCGTTGATCAGAAACAACTGTCCTAATCAGGCTACAACTAATAGAATCCAATATTGATATTTGTGCCATAGGCCCTCCAAGTCACTCAATTAGTCTCATTGCCTAGAGGTGGCAGGAGACAGGCACAAGGGAGAACAGGAAACAGGATCCCTAGACACAGTGGCAAAGGCCCAGGGTGCAATTTTATCCTTATCCATAAGCCCTGTTACTCAAGCTAGTGTGGACACGTCTCTTCTTCCAACTTGTAAAGCCTCCTTATATTTCTCCTTGTTTGAAAATTCATATTCACCTGGTAGGAATGAGGTGGCCAGAATTTTTGTCCTGGTGCTCTCAGGGAGGTCCCTGGGGACATCAGTTCCTCATCTGTAAAGGGAAGGATTAGATGGTCTAGAATAATGGAGAAGCCTAATGTCCTATGTTTGTTTGTCTTGCCTTTTTTGAATCTGATTCTGATTTTTGAATTATTTTTCCTTATAATTCTAATTTAATCTTTATTATATTAACTAGAAGAGGATAAATCCCCAATCCTTTAAACAAAATTTACCTCAGAAACTCAAATTTTAAAAGTAGGATTCTTACCAAGCACTGTTACAGACATCCACTAAACACATTTCTGTGAACCTGGCGTGTATGGGGGGAGACGCTTAGAATCAATTTACAAAGCACACACACAAAGCTTCCCTGATGGACTTGGCATTAGAGGAGAAACAAAATATTACATCCTAAATAGCAGTAGTCAGTATATCTCTCAGAAACTTCACCAACAGAACCAAGAATACCAATAGCTTACTGAAACTTACAGCAGCACTTGGAGAATCAGTTCACATTTATATAAACCTATTTGCCTATTTACAAAATTATTTTAGTTTCCTATGTGCTAATGGACATTTCTGTTAGTAAACATATAACAGATCGGATCATTATAGTTTTGTGATTACTTAACACATTGTTGACCAGGAATTTTACGCAGAAACTATCTATGTGACCAGGTAACTTGTGACCAGTCAACAATGTGTCAAAATTATTTTCTAAACTCTAGTATGCATGGAAATATTCATTTATTCATTCACCAAACTTGCACTGGTTGCCTTCTGTGTATCCGGCACTGAGGATAGAGTCTAGTGAGGGGAACAGAACATAGGAACACTTAATAATGCGTGGGGGGAGGTGCAGTGCTCAGAGTTCATAGGCGCATCAGAGAGGTCCCTGACCTAGGCTGGGGCTGGGTGAGAAAGGGATTTGAGGCAGAGAGTATAAGGCAAGAGCATGAGGCATAGAGGAAGACACAGAAAAAAGAAGCACTTGATTATTATGGAGCTTAGGGGTGAAGGGCAAGAGATGAGGCTGGAAGTGTGAAGGTCAGAGTCAAATTCATGTTCAGGCGCTTATACTTTATCCCATAGCCATGGCAAGCCAGTGAAGGGTTTTTTGTTTGTTTGTTTGTTTTTTATTAAGCTCATTGATTGTATTTTCTTATAACTAATGTACTGTATGCCCACTGGAGGCATCTTGAAAGCAGAGGAGTGATAATAACCTCTGCTAACATCTTCTCCCCATGGTGTAATGATATACCCCTTCAGCCTCACACTGCTCACAATCACTTTTGATTTCCAGCAAGGATAAGAGCATCAATGCCCCACCCCACCTCCCTTCTGTTACCGGTTCACCAGTAGAAGCATCATTTCTTTTCATGGCACAGATGTCCCACTGACCTCTAAATCTGAAAAAGTCAATTGCCTTCTGTGAAACTGCCTGCTAAATTCTGACTTGGCCCAAAGAAAATGTGACTTAAGTTGTCAAATGATTGGTCCAGAATCTCTGTGTATGGTTATTTATTCACTATGATTTTCAATCAAAATAAGCAATTTACAGAATTTAAATTAGCAAAGAAATATCATAAGCAGAGAGAATAGATAGGTTAGAAACGATATGAAAGTTTTAACTTTAATCAGTGTTTTAAATCTGGATTCACTCAGTGAGGGAACAGATGCTTGATGCCCTACACAGATAGCTAAGGACTGTGAGACACTGATTATTATTAATGGACATAACCATAAAAATAGAATTGGAGAAATCATTACCATAGGCTTAGAAATGACCTTAATAAGCTGAACTGTACCATGTACTGGTTGAAAATTCATCATATGACCTAGTATGAAGTCACAAATTCAATAATGGGTTAGTGAACACAGATTTAATAATTTCTTTTTTTCTCATAAAATTGAAAGTCAAATATAGGAAAGAAGATGACACTGAAATATCAGGTTTCATTTAACAATTCATCTTAATTGCCAATTTAAGATACATTGATACAGAATAAAAGTAATTAGAAAAACATAAAAACATATATCTTCTCAAATAACATATCCTTTATCAGGAAGTTTAAAAATTCTATTGTTACATTATTTTCTTTTTCTTTCTTCTTCTGTTTTCTTGTTTGTTTGTTTGTTTGTTTTGTTTTTTAAGAGACAGGGTATTTCTTTGTCACCCAGGTTGGAGTGCAGTGAGTAATCACAGCTCACTGTAGCTTCAAACTCTTGGGCTCAAGTGATCCTCCCACTTCAGCCTCCCAAGTAGCTGGGACTGTAGGCATGAACCACCAGGTCTGGCTCATTTTCTCTGGTTTTTGTTTTTGTGGAGATGGGGGTCTCCCTTGTTGCCCAAACTCCTGGCCTCAAGTGATCCTCCTACCTCGGCCTCCCATAGTGCTGGTATTACAGGTGTGAGCAACCCAACCCAGCCCATTTATTATTTTCATTTGAGGCAACTGATGATTTATCACAATAATAAGCAAATGAAAATTGCTATGAGATGTGTCTAAATTAGACAAAAAGCTAATTTTACAAGGCTATTTATAAAAATCAAGGAATTCCCAAAGCAGGCTGATAATTGTGAATTTAACATATTATACATATTTTCATAGTTCCTACAGATTCTCGCTATTTCAGGGAACATGACTGTTTCTCTAATTCAAATGACACTGGTAATGTGACTCTACTGAGGGCACAGAAAGGAACAGGCTATCCCCTGAACCTGTATCCCTGAATGCTTCCATCTTTGAACTGGCTCACGTACAGGCCACCCCCAAGCCATTATTGCTGCTACAGGATTATGAGAACACCATTGTAAGTTCTTTCCCCAGACTTCATCTTTTCTTTTTTTTTTTTTTTTTT